GTCATTCAAATTATATTTGTATCTAAAAATTGACCCATACTTATTTATATTTTTGTAATTTTACTTAAAACCCTATAAAATGTAAATCACATAATAAACTTTTTTCAAATTATGTTCACCAACGTTTAAATGTATGCAATTTAGTCCATTTTTTATATTAATATCATCTTCACATTTTATAATTAATTCAATTTCATCCCTCATCAATGTGTGTTGTTTAATTTATTCAATTTTTTATTTTCAATTTCATGTTTGTTCAATTTGGTACTTTACATACATATATAAAGTATAAGTATATATATATATATATAAAGTATATAATATAAAGTAAAAAAGTGTTTGGATATAAGTATTAAAGTATATAAATATAAGTATTAAATATAAAGTATATTAATTATCATAATTAATATATTAAATATATTTATTAATTTAATTATCATAATTAATATTTTATTATAACATTTAAAAATTATTCATATTAAATAGTATGATTTATTATAAACTCAAAATCTTACAATTTTATTAAAATCTTATATTTCATGGTAATATATAAGTCATGTAAATGTCAAGTCAGATAAATATCAAATTATGTCAATAACAAGTCGGATCATTTACAGGTCAGGTTGAAAATAGGTCGGGTAATACCAGTTATTTACCAGGTCAACATCAGGTCGGGTTCATATCATTCGGATGCAGGTCGGGTTCGGGTATCATATTTTCGGTTCAATTCGGGTTCATGTCGTTCTCATGTCATGTGCAGGTCGGATTCAAATCCATAATTTTTAGATCCAACTCGAGTTCAGGTCAACATTAGTTCCGACTCGAGTTGGTTTCAGATTGCCACAGCGCAGGTCAAAAACAGTTTTAAATCGAGTTTATTTCAATCAGTTTTAGAGGTCGGGTCAGCTTTTTACACCCCTAAGAAGTATAGAACAAAAATCTATATGAGATAATTGTAATGATTTTAATAGTTGTTTTATAACATATTTTTGTATAGAAGCGAATAAGGTTGTTCATACATTAGCTAATCGAGTCCTTAATTGTAATGCTTCCTTTTTTTAGAGGTTGAGTGTTAATGAATTATGGGTACTTTTTCATCCATATAGGATCTCAACCTTACGTTGATAGAATGAATTTTAAATGAGATCCGTTTTTATTTTAAAAAAATAGAACAAAAATCTAATATAAAGTTTATTATAGAAATGGAAATGATACATTTAGGTATGAAAAGGTCGCTAAATAAAATAAGAATATGAAACACGGGGTCGTTTCATATGACTATGCCAAATGTGACAACACAAGCTAAGCTAGATTCACATTCATTTTGCAATTACTAGTGGCAGATTCTGTTTAGCGTCTTTGCCTAGATATAGATGGAATATGGAATGTGAGATTTTCATACGAATGAAATATACATCTTCATGTTTGGTTGGTCGGAAATTTCATTATCGGTAATGTTTTATTACCAATAGTGAATTTTTTGGGGTATATTACCCGGAATGTCATTACCTCCCTTCCTTTAACTATTGTTAGATTACCAGCATAATTAATTACCGGTATTTTGGACTAAAATGCCCTTAAAATTTTTATTTTTTCAAAAATATAATTATGTCATTGAATAATAAAAATTTTACGTAGGTTAAATTAAAAATTTATCTTTAAATTATTTTAGATTTACAAAAAAATCTATAATTAAAATTTTATATGAAGTTTAGCGGTTAAAATAAAATTTTACCCTTTCATTAAACATTTTTTATATTTTTAATTTTCTAAAAAAAATTATATAAATTTTATGAATTCAAATTTTTTTAAAAAAATATATAAATATTTTTCAACTTGTTAAAAAAACAAATAAATAATAAGAACAATTTGGTTAAATATACATTCTAATAATCTTTTATTCATTTAACCAAACACGGTAATCTTACATTCATGCTAAATCAACCAAACACAAATTACAACATTCTCAGTAATCTTATTCTCTTGTAATATTTTATTTCCACTGATAATCTTACATTCCGTAAACCAAACGTACATTTAGTCTTTTTCGATTTTCAAATAGCCTAAACGAAACGGTGCGCATTGTCCATTAAGTTCACATGCACGTCAACTCAGCTTTAGCGACGACATGCTTGAGTACTGTCTAAAGGACTCGCCTCTTTTATTCACTTTAATTTGAACGTGCAGAGGAGAAAATGGCTCGTTAGGCTGTGTCTGGTTCATTAGTCTTAATCAAAGCAAAGACGCCAATGATCCAAGCGAAATCTTGCCATTTGTTTTCAATTGGCAAAAAGGCGATAGAAGTTACTGTAATTTAAAAAATAGCGTGATACTCGTATTATTTTTTTAATGTGATCTTTATATTATTTTTCTTTTAATTTGAAGCTCAAACACGGAAAATAAGTTTAATGTGTCATTTTGATCATCGTTGATTATTACGATACTAACATGACATTTCAAATTATTGACGTGACAGACTACGGTGTTGACGCAGTAGTCCATGATGATTGATAACGTGACGAATAACATGACAGATGAGCTAAATTAATAACTCAAACGTGACAGATTGACTACCACGTTAGTACCGTGGGCTACCACAATAGCACAGTAAAAAGTCAAACAACAAAACATGCTAGTCAAAGGATCACATTGAGTTTATTTTCTGAGTTAGAGGATGACAATGCGTTGTTTTGATGTCAAATAATTTATCTTTAATCTCAGATAAAATAAAATAAAAAATAATATAGAGAGTAAGGGTTGATCCGTATGGACTATGAAAATTGCTAATGAAGTGGTATTGCTTATGGACTAAGCGAAAATTTGTAAGTAAAAGTAAAACGGAGTTTGTTTGAAGAATAAAGGAAAGTAAAAATTGAAAGAAAGTAAATTTAGAGTAAAATTCAATAATAAAAATCAGTCTTAGGCTTTCGGTTTTGTCTCAAATTTCGTCGATTATCGAAATAGAATTTAGTTTTGGATTCATGTCGGTTATAGTCTATAGAGTTCAACCTCTATAACTTATTTTTCTCTCAATTGAACCGACAATCCAAACTAATCATTAATTATCAATCCTTATGTGAACTAATCGTGACAATCCTTATTAGCTCCAACTCAATTAAAAGTTTTGGAAAAATCTGACTCGGATTATAGTGAATCGCTAAGAATAGAATCCGATCTCAGTTTCTCTTAACCGACCACAATTAAGTGTGTTTACAAGAAGTTGAATATGCTACAAGTCAATCATTTCTCCTAACTATTAATCGAAAACACAATCAATCTAACATGCATTTTTTGAAAAGAAAATATTTTTTATTATAAAAGGATTGAGGGGTCTGTTCTTGAAGAAAAGGGAGGAGGGGAAGCATAGGGTGGTTCTTAGGTTTGTTTTCCGAAGCCATCGCCGTCGAATATGAAGGCCGTGGCTTCATTTTTCTCTAACTCGGCAAAGAAAAAAAGACAGAGAGGGGGTGAGGTTGAGAGCGTTTGAGCTCTCTGTTTTTAGAGAGAGAAGGGAAGAAAAAATGAAATTTGGTAAAGGCTTTTCGGTTGGCCTTATACCAAAGCCTCAAACGACGTAGTTTCATCGTTCCATTCCCGTGTTTTTCGATTGCTAAAGAGAAAATAGCTTGTTAAGTCCTTTTCCTTTTGATATATCACCCGTATTTTTCATTTTTATGGGACAAATCATGGTTTAGGTCCTTTTTCCCTCGTAATGTTTTATTTCAGTCATTTAATGAAGTTTACTATATTTGACTTTGAGCACTTATATTTCAGCATTTATGTTTTAGTCATGTTCTTACTTATTTTGTTATTATTGTCAATGTTTGACTCTGGTCATGAGCTTTGTAATTATTTAAGTTTAGTCACTGCCTTACATTTGGTTTAATTATTATTTGGCTTTTTATGTTTCTGGTTTATTCCATCTTTTTCCCTAATGTTGTTAATGGGTTATTTTTGTTTCCAGCACCTGTATTATCTAATTTATGTGATTTTGGCTCTGGTTTATTTTGTAATTATTGTTTAGCCCTTCAAGTTTTTATTAGAGCCATTTTGGTCCCTGAAATCACCCTATGTGCTTATTTTTATTGTTTGTATTTTGATTTGTAATATTCACTTGTTTTATTTTAGTCCCCATATATGAATATATTTTACATTATATGTGTATTATATTAAGTAAATATTATCTATGATTATTGTATATAAATGCATGTTGTTAATTTTTATTTATTTAATATTCATTTCCCTCATGTTTCTTTATCCATTGTATATTATTCGAATAATTTCAAGAACGGTATTTGTAGAATGAGCGTGGAAAGTATCACTTGATCGAAGTGGTACAATCCGATACGATGTTCGAACAAAATGGGAACTTGAAATAAATCTTGCTTATATTTTTTACAATTCAATGAGTTTTATGTGGCAATTTATGTTATTTTATGCAAATGTCAAATATTTTTATTCGATTTGCATTTTTTTATATATTCGAAGATAGAATCTTCTTTTACGGGAAAGAAGTAGTCAAAATAGCTTTCCCGATGGAGGATTACGAATTTTGAGATTTCTTATCAAGTCAAAGAATTTTCTTTAAGTTATTAATTCGAAGAAAATTAATCAACTTTAATAAATAGATCATATTTTAACTTTATATTCAATTAATGATTTCCACTATTATGACAACGTGTAAGTGATTGAGTACTAATTTTGGACGATGTGGGGTTCGTAATCTTTCCCCACGCGTAACCGACTCCCGCACCCGTAAGTTGAATTTTTTGGTAAACGCATATCGACTTTTGTTAAAAAAACGATTTTTCCTTAAAATTATTTTAAAATACATTTTTAGGTGTTCGACCTACCAAACCCAAACGTCGATGGCGACTCTTATTCATTTTAATTCAAATTAGTATAAAATCGTCAATTTTCTAAAATAAAAAGTCATAATTGTTTTTTTAAATAATATAATTTAATTATTTAAAAAAAAATGGTTATGACAAACAGTGAACGCAATGAGGCCACCGAAACATAGTGAAAAGAAGAACCAATTGAAGAAGGAAGAGATAAGACGCTGGTTGCTGTGGTTAAGCTGATCAGCACCATGAGCAGGCAAGGCAGCCTTAACGCCACGAACACCGGCAGCTATCGCGTAAAGTCCGGCATAAAGGATTGCCTCTTGGGTCTTCGAAGGCTTGCTGTTTATAGCCGGAAACAATCGGCTCTTTTTAGCTTGAATTGTCAGCAGGACGAGTCCCTGAATAGAAAATTCCTTCGGGTTTTACTTCAATTTTATCATCAAAATGATAACATTAACATAAACGAAAGTATATACCGATAACTCAAGAGTGCAAAAGATGATGAATGTGTTGAATCTTGTGAGGAAAGAATCACTGATGAAACCTCCAAATAGCGTCAGCAAAAAGGAGCTTCCCATGCAATTAGTGACCATGTTGGTAGATTCCGCGGCGGAGTAATGCATTGAGTTGAGCAAATAGGCGACGAAGTTCGTGGCGTTGAATAAGAACACCATGTTCTCTAACACCTCAACCACTGCATAATTTAATGTCATTAACAACAACATAAACCACGAAGTATTAATCCTAAATGAATCAAATTGGTGGGGTTTCACTTAAGTTTAAATTTTAAAAAAAAGAATCTAAAACCAAACTCACCACAGGAATGCTTGCAGCAGTAACACCGCCATGCCTCACAGGATCTGCATTTGACCTCGCCAATCCTCGAACTCTCCGTTTTCAATCACCGTTTGTTCAGCCTGTTAATATAGAAGAATTAATGTGAAATCATCTTCAAATACAATGAATCAAGTCACGGTATTAATATCATACATATTGGGTTTCTTTTTTTTTGAGCTTACCATGAATATATAATTGCAGGATTGAAATATTGATTGTCTCTCAAGGACCGATGAAACCCTTTTTGTGGAAATGGAGAATTGGCTGAAGGAAGGGAAGCAGCTGAGCGAAGAATTACATGGATATAGCCACTTGCATCTCGTTTGGTAATCAAGAAAGGATGGATAATGAAGAAATGATGATAGGAAATATATGAAATTGTAACAAGTTTAAAGTATTTTTTTAATAATATAAGGTGATTTTAATTTATTATTTATTCTGAATTTTCTTATATTATTAACAACTCAACTTATAAACGTAGTTGTTTAAATCCGGATTCTTTAATAAAATAATATTTTTTACCGTTGAGATCAATCAACGAATACAATTTAATGTATTTTAAATTCAAATATCATGAATAAAAAATAATCTTATTAAAATTTGTTAGTTAGGTATCATTCTTAATTTATTAGTTAGGTAAATATGAGCACAACGTAATTAATTGTATCCAAAGTTTAACATTAATACAATTTATATATATTAGGTCTGTCTATATTGCTATCCAATTTTAAATAAAATCCAAATTCATTTGCTAATTGTCGGAACCGTCTTTCGGTTGACTTACCTCGGAATTGGGCTTCGACTTGGATTAAATGTGGTTAGGAGTCGCCACCGACCACTTTAAAACGAATTTAGGTGGGTCGGACACCATCTTACCTGATCTGCATTTTACCAGAAACATGTCGGGTTCGGGAGTCGGTTACGGTCAAGGAAGGATTAGCACCCTTGAACCGCCCTTTCGGTACCAATTAATTTATCGGTTATCTTTAATTGCAAAAATTAAAATTAAAATTGAAATTTAAAACATTCGATTCAAATTACCCACCTTTGATTGATTGAAATTATCCTATATGTAAAAAAAATCAAATAAATAAAGTAAAACACAAAAAAACCAAAGAATTAGAATTCCAAGCATGTCCAATATGAAAAAGTAGTCAATGGAAAAAGGATTTCATTTCATCTCTTCATATTGGCGTACATATTGTAATTTTTCTGCTCTAACTTGAGCCATCAGCTCCAAATTTAAAGCAAAATGGTATAGATTGAACTCCAAAACTAGATTTGAAATGCTACTGCCCATATACAATATTTACTATGGTCGAGCTGTTTTGGCAGGACCAAAAGAAATCAAATGCCACTAACGTAGTTCACAAGAAGCCTAGTTAATAAGATTAATGATTTATTATAATGCGTAATGATCAAATTTTTTTAAAACCAAAAACTAAGTACTTTGTGAAAGTTATTGGTTTCCATTTTCAATCACTAGATGCCTGTATGAAAGTGACATGAAAGAAAATCAATCTCATCAGTCGTGTTGTTTGTTCCTTCACCTTGTTTCTCTAAGGCTAGACGTGGAGCCCATGTATTTATTGAAGCAATTAAAGAGTGATGGAACGAACGAATTCTAAATGCAAAACAAATAAATGGCATGCATGTATCTGAATTTGATAATCCATTACCGATTTATAAGTCTTCGGATTCGTCTGACAATTGTTGTTTCATGAGAGCGAGGGGAAGACTCCAAGCAACGAACGGTTTCGACGCTATTCACCTCCACGATCAATTTCTACAGGCCTCGTTCCCAAGCAACCTCGAGGCCATCAAGAACCTGCAAGAATTTAGCTTGTAAAATTGAGCAACAGCCAATATTTCTGGTGCAACCAACGATCCAGTCTCCTCTGCCGTCTCTGATCACACCAACGCTGGACGGCTTCATAGTCATGGGATTCACACCACAATCGGTGTTGGGTTTAAAGGTCCTCGCTCTTGGTGGGTTCCAATGGCCACCTTTGTTGCCAACACCGTTTCGAGGAGCAACGTTCTTCAGGTTTGAGCTTTGACAGATTAGATTCTTGAGTCATTTCACCTTTCTGCATCTCAGGCGTGGAAACAACATTATCAGACTTTAACAAATCTTTTAGCTGATCTCTATGAGTTCCCGGACAGGTTTGAAATGTTGCAAGGACAGGAGGAATTGGCACTGCGAGAGCAGAAAGCACATTACTCAAGTACCTTCCCCTTTCCAGTTTTTTGCTTTTGTTCACCCCCCCCCCCCGTCAATCTCAAGTTTATTTAAATAAATAGCAAGGCCCTCTATCTGATGAAGCTTTCCACTTTCCTTTTGAGAGGAAAAAAAGGAAGAAAACGTGCGAAGTGGGTGATGAAAGTGAGAGTAGTGGAGGTTGTTGGGTGTTTGAGTGGGTGAGGTAATGGTAGATAGTGGGGCCTACAAAAAATAAAATTAAAAAATAATAATAATAATAATAATAATTAATAATAACAATAAATAATGTATATATATATAAGTCCGGTCAAAAACGGGTGTCTACAGCTGCCCCTCTTTGCACATTTTTATGTTTATAAGAATAGGGCAAAGAAGAAAAAGACAACAAGTTTTTGTCCGGTTCTCTTTGATTTGAGACTTAATAGTGTTTGTTGTGACACAGATGACTCCTTCGTCATGAAGTTGAGCCTGAGAAATGGATATCCTTCGTCGTGAAGTTGAAATCCAATGTAAGTTGCGCTATTATGAGGTCAATATCTTTCGACGTGAAGTTGAAGTTGACTCTGAAACTGGAAAATTTGTTTATTGACAACCAGCGGTCCCTTCGTCGTGAAGTTGAACTTGTGTTGTCTGGAGTCCAATATCCTTCGTTGTGAAGTTGAAATTGGCTCTGAAATTGAGAAGTTGTTTGTTGACAGTCAGCCGCCCTTTCGCCGTGAAGTTGAGCTTGTGCTGTCTTGAGTCCAATATCCTTCGCTGTGAAGTTGAAATTGGCTCTGAAATTGGGAAGTTGACAGTCAGTCGCCCCTTCTTCGTGAAGTTGAGCTTGAGCTGTCTTTAGTCCAATATCCTTCGCTGTGAAGTTGAACTTGGGAAATTGTTTATTGACAACCAGCGGTCCCTTCGTCGTGAAGTTGAACTTGCGTTGTCTAGAGTCCAATATCCTTCGTTGTGAAGTTGAAATTGGGAAATTTTTTATTGACAACCAGCGGTCCCTTCGTCGTGAAGTTGAACTTGCGTTGTTTGGAGTCCAATATCCTTCGTTGTGAAGTTGAATTGGGAAATTGTTTATTGACAACCAGCGGTCCCTTCGTCGTGAAGTTGAACTTGCGTTGTCTGGAGTCCAATATCCTTCGTTGTGAAGTTGAAATTGGGAAATTGTTTATTGACAACCAGCGGTCCCTTCGTCGTGAAGTTGAACTTGCGTTGTCTGGAGTCCAATATCCTTCGTTGTGAAGTTGAAATTGGCTCTGAAATTGAGAAATGTTTGTTGACAGACAACTTTTCTTGACTTAAGTTGTGCTGTATATTTCCTTTAAATGAATGATGGCCCCTTTCGCCAAATTTTGTGAGCCGGATGTCTTCCGTCGTGGAATTGAAATCTGTCTTGAAAGTGTTAACTGGAAACATGCTGCTCATGGTTGAGTTTGAGTCGAACTAGACTTGTTTTGAACTGGTTCTCGAACCTATTTGAAATTGATTCTGAGATGTCAAGTCGGTTGAGGTGTAGCTTATTACTGCCGAGTTAAGCAACCACCATCGTTCTTTAAAGCCGCTTACAAGTCGAGTAGCCTTCATCCTGAAGTCGAAGCTTGACTCTAAAAGCTGCAAAAATTATGTATGCTAAAAATGATGAATGTGATGCACCTAAGTATGTCTGAGATGCATGTAACATGAATGAGTTATGTTTTATCTCTTGGATTGGAGTCCTGTGTTTTGCCTGCCAATCTGGTTCATGGAATTGACCGTGCCCCATTTGCTTCTCGAGCTTTGGCTTTACAGACCTTTCATATTTGAGACTGTCATGTTTAAAAATGTTTTTCTCCTTTTTCTTGTTTAATGAGGGAAAAAGATAAAAATTCTGTAAAATATTGTTTGCAATTGAATCAAATTATAAACATGAGTTTAGAGTATATCAAAGGAATCAATAGCTCTTTTAATGCTTTCAGAGTTACAGCTCTTTGACAAGTATTCAAATGGATGAGTTGGCTTTAGGTTGGTCTCCTTTCTAAGGTTTTGGTAACCCAAAATGTCATTTTTTTAAATATCGAAATATGCTTTGGCATTTCATTTGGGTGCGGACATAATGACGCAACTAGAATGACCACTTACTAGACATTTTATTTCGGTCCTCTGAAATCTTCCATTTGTTCAAGCTTTGTAGGCTCCTCCAACAAAGGCAGTGCGAAAAATATCGGTCTAAAAATGAAATTCTTGAGTGCTCGTGTGTAGTCGACTATAACAGGTGTTCCTTAACTCCCTTAGTTCAACATTACCGAAAATTTCTTGCTCAGATAAATTTGATTTAATTTGTCGTTATCTGGCAAGCTGGATCCATAAAGTCGGGGCGTTTAACCAATTGCTTTAGAGGGATCACTTAACATTATAATCAGTTTTATCAAGTTCACTGAAGGGTTCATTTCATCACAGAGTCTTCAGCCTGACAAGAGCAGTGGAGCAAACACCGAATTGCCAAGTGTCCGAGCAATGTCATGGTTTGAACGTAATCTACTCATAAGACCAGGGCTTTCAAGTTTCCTCTATAACCAATTGCCTTAGTGGAATAGCTCAGCTTTACGGTTTTAATTTCTTAAGATTGTCAAGAAGAACCTGTTATAGTCTAGGTGTTTGTTGAAAGTAAAAAATTTCATCTTTAGAGTTCAATTTTCAAGCAACTGACCTAAACTAGATTCACTTACTCGACTATTCCATCTGTGAAGATCATTATCATCACTGAACGTCTTAAATAAAAAGTATAATAATGTCATATGCAAAAGGATGCCCCATGTTGTCCGCACCTTATGAAAGGAAAATGTTATATTGGCTAATTACAAGAGCAGGGTACGGTGTTTGAGTGTATATTCTGGGTAAAGTCAAATTCCTTGTTTTAAATCATGTTACTTCGTCAAAGATATGTAACTTTGAACCATTTCAGAGTTTCTTAATTCAGATGATATTCAAAGAATTGCAAGTTTGCAAATGTGATTCATTGTTTAACATCTTTAAAGTAACATAAATTTATTTAAAAGTCCTT